TTTAAACTTCAATACCTGTTCCTCTAGGTCTGGAAGCCGAGCATCACAAGATCGTGCACTAACTGTGTCAATTCCTGAAGCCAATCGTTCAGTGTCCAAGCCCTTTGCTGGTTCTCACAGCTTCTGCTATATTACTGTGGCATTTTCCCATAACTAATCCCATATTCGCAAATTCAATGTTGGTGTACATTTGAAAGGAGCTTCAAAGTAAGTCACAATTTGACAAATTTTTGTCATTATTGACAAAGGCTAACTACCTGTAACTATCTGGCAATGACAAAAAACATCATTGCCGCTTTGACTTTTTGTCAAAAAATTGTAGAAGAGTAAATAGAGATAGATTTCGAGGCTGTACTGATCCAACAGTACAGTGTAAGCTCTCAAGCAAACCACTTCTATAGATGCAAGCCACTCGTGCTTTTTTAATATCAAAAAGTTTTGTAATTTGAAGCAAAGATCGTAATTTTTCTTATCGAACGGTTAAGTATTCCAATAAGCCGTCAATCAAAGATGGGATAATTTAAGAATAATACTTAATAACAAAGTTGAAATTCCATCTCCAATTGTTAATATCTTCAAAATTTTGGAAAAAAAAATCTCTCTCTATAACTCAGCTCCTATTAGGAATGATGCCAATTTTGAATCACCCTAAATAATACCTGTACTTCTAGTCTGCCAATGGTTAATTACTAAGCGGCTTGAAAACATTACTTCACAGCAAAGGAAATTTTGCAATTTTCGTACTAATATATTTGACAAATAAATTCAATTTTTAAACATGTTTTCCATGACTTGACCAAATCCGATTTAGCCATTTAGTCTAATTTCTGACCTCAATTTTTACAAGTATTTCAATTATTAATGAGTATGATTTTTCACACTATTTTGTCTCTACTCCCTAAATATTCTCTGGTAACACATCCATTTAAAATGACCGTGAATAACAGAAAAAATTAATATTAGTATTTTTCTAAAAAAAATGTTTTCTGGTTAGGCATCAACTCAATATATTTCTTTCACTGACAAACTTGTATTATCGACTAGGAACAAGTTATCTGCATTGACAATACGGGTATCGACAGATGCGAGCAAACGCATTCGCGTTTATTGGTCTCTAAATTGTCGTATCTGGCCGTGTTACAAGCAGAATATTTAATCTCAGATGAGGAGGGTGATGTATCCGAAATTGGTCCTGCCAATACCACTTTAAGCACCATTAAATTTAGGATATACACATAGTTTTTTTTCTGGGAAGCTGGAGAATTAACTTTATCGAACCCCAGCGTAACTCCAACACGCTCAACATCAAACATATCCCACAGTGCAAGAAGTGCCAAAAATTCGGGCATTCCCTGACTGTGGTGAACTGTGGTTCAAAAGCCATTTGCCACAAATGCGCCGAGCCGCATTTCTACAGGGAGTGCACGAAATCTCGTGACGTTCCTGCCAAATGCTGCA